GACACTACTACACAGGTCACGTCTATAGATACTCTATTTACCTACTGAGACACTTCTACATAGGTCACGCCTATAGATACCCTGTTTACCTACTAAGACACTTCTACACAGGTCACGCCTATAGATACTCTATTTACCTACTAAGACACTACTACACAGGTCACGCCTATAGATACTCTATTTACCTACTAAGACACTTCTACACAGGTCACACCTATAGATACTCTGCTTGCATACTAAGACACTACTACACAGGTCACGCATATAGATACTTTATTTACCTACTAAGACACTACTACACAGGTCACGCCTATAGACCCTGTTTACTACTAAGACATTTCACCTATAGATACTACTAAGACACTACTACACAGGTCACTACTAAGCCTATAGATACAGGTCACGCCTATAGATACTCTATTTACCTACTAAGACACTTCTACACAGGTCACGCCTATAGATACTCTATTTACCTACTCAGACACTTCTACACAGGTCACACCTATAGATACTCTATTTACCTACTAAGACACTAAGACACTACACAGGTCACGCCTATAGATACCTATTTACCTACTAAGACACTTCTACACAGGTCACGCCGCCTACTGAGACACTTCTACATAGGTCACGCCTATAGATACCCTGTTTACCTACTAAGACACTTCTACACAGGTCACGCCTATAGATACTCTATTTGTCTACTAAGACACTACTACACAGGTCACGCCTATAGATACTCTATTTACCTACTAAGACACTTCTACACAGGTCACGCCTATAGATACTCTATTTACCTACTAAGACACTTCTACACAGGTCACGCCTATAGATACTCTATTTACCTACTAAGACACTTCTACACAGGTCACGCCTATAGATACCCTGTTTACCTACTAAGACACTTCTACACAGGTCACACCTATAGATACTCTGTTTACCTACTAAGACACTTCTACACAGGTCACACCTATAGATACTCTGTTTGCCTACTAGGACACTACTACACAGGTCACGTCTATAGATACTCTATTTACCTACTAAGACACTACTACACAGGTCACGCCTATAGATACCCTGTTTACCTACTAAGACACTTCTACACAGGTCACGCCTATAGATACTCTATTTACCTACTAAGACACTTCTACACAGGTCACGCCTATAGATACCCTGCCTATAAGATACCCTGTTTACCTACTAAGACACTTCTACACAGGTCACGTCTATAGATACTCTGTTTACCTACTAAGACACTTATAAACAGGTAACACCAATATGTACTCAGGTAACAGACTAGGACACTTCTACACAGGTCACACCTATAGATACTGTTTACTACTAGGACACTACTACACAGGTCACGTCTATAGACACTATACACAGGTCACGCCTATAGATACCCTGTTTACCTACTAAGACACTTCTACACAGGTCACGCCTATAGATACTCTATTTACCTACTAAGACACTACTACACAGGTCACGCCTATAGATACTCTGTTTACCTACTAAGACACTTCTACACAGGTCACACCTATAGATACTCTGTTTGCCTACTAGGACACTACTACACAGGTCACGCCTATAGATACTCTACTTACCTACTAAGACACTACTACACAGGTCACGCCTATAGATACTATAGATACTTTGTTTACCTACTAAGACACTACTACACAGGTCACACCTATAGATACTCTATTTACCTACTAAGACACTACTACACAGGTCACGCCTATAGATACCCTGTTTACCTACTAAGACACTTCTACACAGGTCACGCCTATAGATACTCTATTTGTCTACTAAGACACTTCTACACAGGTCACGCCTATAGATACTCTGCTTGCCTAATAGGACACTACTACACAGGTCACGTCTATAGATACTCTATTTACCTACTAAGACACTACTACACAGGTCACACCTATAGATACTTTATTTACCTACTAAGACACTTCTACACAGGTCACACCTATAGATACTCTATTTACCTACTAAGACACTACTACACAGGTCACACCTATAGATACTCTATTTACCTACTAAGACACTTCTACACAGGTCACGCCTATAGATACCCTGTTTACCTACTAAGACACTTCTACACAGGTCACGCCTATAGATACTCTGTTTGCCTACTAGGACACTACTACACAGGTAACGTCTATAGATACTCTTTTTACCTACTAAGACACTACTACACAGGTCACGCCTATAGATACTCTTTTTACCTACTAAGACACGTCTACACAGGTCACGCCTATAGATACTTTATTTAACTACTAAGATACTACTACACAGGTCGTGCCTATAGATACCATATTTACCTACTAAGACACTTCTACATAGGTCACGGCTATAGATACTTTATTTACCTACTAAGACACTTCTACACAGGTCACGCCTATAGATACCCTATTTACCTACTAAGACACTTCTACACAGGTCATGCCTATAGATACTCTGTTTGCCTACTAGGACACTACTACACAGGTCACGTCTATAGATACTCTATTTACCTACTAAGACACTACTACACAGGTCACACCTATAGATACTCTATTTACCTACTAAGACACTACTACACAGGTCACGCCTATAGATACCCTGTCTACCTACTAAGACACTTCTACACAGGTCACGCCTATAGATACCCTGTTTACCTACTAAGACACTTCTACACAGGTCACACCTATAGATACTCTGTTTGCCTACTAGGACACTACTACACAGGTCACGTCTATAGATACTCTATTTACCTACTAAGACACTACTACACAGGTCACACCTATAGATACTCTGTTTGCCTACTAGGACACTACTACACAGGTCACACCTATAGATACTCTGTTTGCTTACCAAAACACTTCTACACAGTTCACGGCTATAGATACTCTGTTTGCCTACTAGGACACTACTACACAGGTCACGCCTATAGATACTTTATTTACCTACTAAGACACTTCTACACAGGTCACGCCTATAGATACCCTGTTTACCTACTAAGACACTTCTACACAGGTCACGCCTATAGATACCCTGTTTACCTACTAAGACACTTCTACACAGGTCACATCTATGTTCATTCACAAACGTTCACAATCGTTTTAAAGCGAAACTTGCATTCGTATATAATGTAATTTGCTGAAGTATTTCAGTGAAAATAAAGTGTTTTATTTCTTCCTTATTTTTAAAATTATATTGAAAGGGACTCGACAACCGGTCACGTCTATAAGTAGGCACATGAACAAACTTGTCAGGGATTATTCATACCCTATATCTTAAACAACTACCGTTGATTGTTACTTTTAACTTCTTCGTTCTTGGTGTGAAGTTTGAAGAAATAAAATATCATAAAAATGTCGCGATTGATTGTTATGTAACATACATTACCGTGACGCAGCATTACACACGTGGATATACATTTATCAAAAACACATTGGGATCAAACTGATGACCAATAAATGAAATCAGAAATCGTGAGGAAAATAGCTTTTGTCATATTTAAATATGTTCTCAATGATGGTTAAAGGATACATGTCAAGACCAATTCAATCGCATAATAATTGAAGTGATGAAGTATGTGGATACTCTCGTGATTTTTCCTTATCCGTTATGGTGAATCAAAGCATGCGCGTGATACACATATTTGTATTGAAAAAAGTTAAGGCATCTCTTTCACTGCTGAACTGATGCTGAAATTCATATATCTTATTAATTAGCCCTGGTTATCCTCACAATATTCCTGTTTATGTAACGGTTATTGACAGTCGTACACATGTTTGAAGCTACGTAAATACCTCTGTCACAAAAGAAGCTTTTACTTCCGGAATTTACGAGCTGAAATCAAACTTAACTTTTATTATAGAAAGGTGATTGACATGACAGGTTTAACTATAGTTATAGACAAGTGATTGTCATGACAGGTTTAACTATAGTTATAGACAGGTGCTCGGCATGACAGGTTTAACTATTGTTATAGACAAGTAATCGCCATGACAGGTTTAACTATAGTTATAGACAAGCGATCGCCATGACAGGTTTAACTATAGTTATAGACAAGTAATCGCCATGACTATAGTTATAGACAGGCGATCGCCATGACAGGTTTAACTATAGTTATAGACAGGTAATCGCCATGACTATAGTTATAGACAGGCGATCGCCATGACAGGTTTAACTATAGTTATAGACAAGTAATCGCCATGACTATAGTTATAGACAGGTAATCGCCATGACTATAGTTATAGACAGGCGATCGCCATGACAGGTTTAACTATAGTTATAGACAAGCGATCGCCATGACAGGTTTAACTATAGTTATAGACAGGTAATCGTCATGACTATAGTTATAGACAAGCGATCGCCATGACAGGTTTAACTATAGTTATAGACAAGCGATCGCCATGACAGGTTTAACTATGGTTATAGACAGGTTATCACCATGACTGGTTTAACTGTAGTTATAGACAGGTTATCGCTTTGACAGGTTAAGGTGTAGTAATAGAAAGGTTACCGTCATGATGATCTTAATTAGTATATGAAGTATGGATTTTGAATGGGTCTTTAACTGTTTTAACTGTTGTTAGTGGTTGAATTAACATCTGGTTAAAATATTTGTATAATGACGACTTACAAAATATATTGACAACTCATTGAATTATAAATGAGATGGACATAGTGTTATCTAAGCCACTGTAGATATGTTAAGGAGGTTATGTGAACTGCGTAGATTTAGGATACCAACATTTTGTGTTCAATTTTACCTGCCCGTTTAATTTATAGTCAAAATGAAACACCGGAATGAAGGGATGTTATCAGCGTGACCTCTTCACTGAGATTTTACAACGTGAATTATTGGAGCCATAAAGTGAACTACTTGAAACAGATGAGTTATTATTAGGTTTAGTTACACTGAACCTATAAACGCTACAGCAAAACCTTATGTGTGTGTCATTAGTGTTGACTGGTTGTTTGACAAGGATACATCCACCATGATTCTTATCGCTGTCATCTCGCTGGTTTTGAGTTTTTCTCTCAAAGCAGGTATGTTATTTAAACTACACATGTTCATTAGAGCCATGCATGAAGAATTGGATACCAGCACGAGAAATTATATTGAAGCTTTTATTTCTAAACTTAGTAATTTAATACTTTAATATGGTACAAACGTTCTTGATTCAGTACATTACAATAATGTTTTCGATGGATTGCCATGTTACTCTGTGTCACTGACAGTGTTTGAGGTGATATCTTGATGTCTAGCATTGTAAATGCTGAGCATGCGATCTGTTCACTTGTACCAGATACAGAAAGATACGATACAGAACGTATAAGGCTTACGTAATGACGGTCTCTATTTCTATAAAAAAAACTTAAATGTTTGTTATATAATAGTAAGTAAATGTAAAACAAAACGTATTACATGGATATAGATATATTCACTTCTATACGATAAACAGAATAATTAATTTCTTTAAAACATAATAAAAGTGCAGTTACTAGTAAAATGTCTCCGTATCTTTCGATTTACGATTCGGAGAGATACTGTTTTATCACATAAAATAACCTTTTGTTTAATCCGGCCGACATATTGCCTTCTCATATGTTTTTTTTTTTTTTTTTCTATTACTCGATCATTATTGAATTAGTGATTTTTCTGTAACCTTTTACGCAATTTTTGCGAAAGAGTTATAATTTGATTATCTTCATCACATACCCCCTACCCCCACCCCTACCACAACACACACACCTACTGTTAGACCTACTGCAGATAGCCTCAGCCTTGGTGTTATTAGTCGGATACTCAATACGTCAAGTTTTACACGATCCTCGGTACGTCTTGATATTAACCCTTTCGCTACAACGCCAACGAGGAACCGCCTGATTCGACATAAATGTGACCAAAATGGAAAAAAAATGATTTTTCTATTTCTATGAATACGAAAAGGTAATCTCAGTGAGCTTTATCCAAATACCAATTATCAGAAAATATATGTTGGATATGTGTCGTGTCTTATTTTTCACTGGTCGTCAGATTTCTTACCTGAAGCAATATGCACTAAAACATTAGATTTCTCCGGCTTCATTTTTAGGCATTAGAACTTTATCCAAAATTGGCACAAGCTTGCGCGGTACCGCAAAATTGAAAAAAAAATGGACCAAAAATGTTTAGAGCTAATGCTTTCAATATTGAATTTATGATTGAAATGTCGGTGAAATCTTAATTATTGACTATAGCAGAAACGTTACGACTTTCCTCCTGCGTTAGACGAAATTTAATGGGATAGTGCGTTCGATTTCAGCTGCTTACATCCTGATATCATTATCTTTTTTATTTTTGTTTTCAATACATATTTTAATATACTTATTTCATTAGCAAGTGTCCTTCTTTGATTTAATTATTCAGATTAATATGCATTGCGACAATTAATGTCCAAAACCCGACCATTTATAATGAATGCAGTCGGTGATTTACAAGATAGTGCTGGTGACCAACAGTCCCACATGCAAGTGTTGGAGACATGGTAGAATGCCATCTCAATTTATCATTACGATTACAGAAGATAGAATACTAAGGAGTAATCCGGCCAATGATTCAATCCTTTCTTTTGTCACGTATCTCGTAAATTTCCCAGCTTTAATAGTAATATCACCAGCTACTTACACGGTAAGCACACAACTTCCCGGACGCACCTGTTTTATATCTAGACTCCGATTGCACGTTTACATGACGTCATTAGTTATGTACATTAAGATCGATCAAGGCGATTAACTGCAAAAGTTGTTCCGTCAAGATAAAACGTTTCTTCCGTTCAATAATTCAATACGACAAACAACAACAAATGCAAAAAATGTTTGTCACTGCGACAGAGACACTGTGACTAATTTGATAAATAAAACAAATAATTTTCAAACAACAATATGCTTCATGGACAAACCGACATATACACACATATATAATTGTATATAATACATAAGTATAAATTAAGTAATAAATATTGAATATAATTTCTTAATTAACTACCGTATAACTTTTTGTACAATGTACTAACAATAAATCCACACACTTTAGAACCCCCCCCCCAAAAAAAAAAAAAAAAAAACAAAAACAAAAAACCACTATTTTCCTCTGTGTGCCGATACCTATGTCGCCTGAATGACACGTACATTTAACACGAGGTATAAATTTGCATTTGCGAATCTTAGACCATCATGTTACCTATTGGCGACGCATAACACAGAGAAAATAATTTCAACCTAATTCAAACTGTCCAAACGGTTGAAATTATATATACCTCTTTCAAAGGTGTCAACGTCGCTGTGATTGTGACGTCGTTGACGCCAAGCCAAGATAACCCCTTCGCTGATGAATTTTTGACGCCGGAATGTTAAAAAAAAATAAATAAAATTCTTTGTACAGTAAATATCATTATGACGTTATCTGGCGTTCAGCCACCTTAAAATTCTTCAGTGTCTCCAGCATTATTGCGCCCAACAATTGTTCAATGCAATACTTCGATTGCTGTTTTTGATCTATATTTACTTACGAATGACATTTAAAATTATTAGGCAATATCTTGTACATATCATACTGTTATTTATGGTCAAAACCATCCTTTGATCGTAAACAAGAACAGTAAATAATACGACTGACTCTTCCGTAAATCTTTATCACAATCAAACAAGTTATCAGACAATCTATGATGTAGGTATTCAATAACCTACATTATACGTCCCGCTGACACGGCGCTATCAGCATACGACCACGGCGACCAGTATTCATCGAACTCGAGTCGTACGGTTACTCTGTCAGACGTCGGATTGTCTCTGTAAAGTGGAGACGGAATCGATGCCGGTGATAGGACTCTCTTTGTGGTACTGAAGTATGAACGGGCATATGTAATCAAATCAGTTCATGAAGCACGTGTTATTACGTGTAGATGTTTTTACGGTTCAGTAATCACATGTATACATACGGTACACACGACCATATCAAAATTTGTGTGTAGTCACGGTTCAGTAATCACAGGTATAAATACGATACACATAACAATATAAAAGTTTGTATGTAGTCACGGTTCAGTTATCACAGGTATAAATACGGTACACACGACTTAAAAAAAGGTTTTTGTGTAGTCACGGTTCAGTAATCACATATATAAACACGGTACACACGACAATATAAAAGTTTGTATGGAGTCACGGTTCAGTAATCACAGGTATACATACGGTACACGCGACCGTATCAAAGTTTGGATGTAGCCACGGTTCAGTTATCACAGGTATAAATACGGTACACACGACAATATAAAAGTCTATATGTAGTCACGGTTCAGTTATCACAGGTGTAAATACGATACGGAGACAGCTTTGTAGAAGCAACGTTATACGGCAAACATTTATTTCAGCGTTATTTCGACCGCGCATCGCCAAGCCACAGCAGAAACAGATTAACAGTGAGTGAATGCAACACAAGCTGTAATAGCATTATGTATCATTGATGTAAGCACTATTTTTACAGAATAATACAATTATTCAAAATGAACATTTTCATTTTTTCTCGGGTAACATTTTTGTTGAAGTGTTAAAAATCGTGACCCAAAATACATCTAAAAACGCTATTTTCTCCAGAATCCCTGACGTGCTACCAATGTGCGGATACTCAAATGGAGGGGCCATGTCAGACAAACACAGCCGACCTAGCGAAATCAAAACGGATCTGGACGAACACGACAAAGGCGAGCGACAACGTAGGAAATCATAAACCGGGTTCATACATTGAATACGTCAAAATTTGTCCCCCAGAACAGAAATTTTGCGCTATTGAACGAATTGAAGATAAAGGTATGTTTGATATGTAATGTATATATGTGCATTATTTTATCATTATTATCATTATTATTATTTTCCTTTTCAGTTGCTATATGGTTGCTATACATTTATATATATATGTATGAAACTCGGGAACAATTATAAGAAGCAATTAAATTCTGGAATTTTCGGATCAACAACATGACTGTATATGACGCATAGTGTTAATGTATTGATATTTTGTACATTGTAACACAATTAACGAAGGAAAAAAAAATTCACTCGTGCCCTGTCCGGGCCTCGAACTCACGATCTTGGACACCAAATCGCCTAGCCAAAGAAATTCCAGACTGCCTAGCTGTGCTATTCAACATTCGTTTCTCGTGGGTATAATTGTTGTGACGTACCCAGACTGCTGTTGATATTGCACTTGATATTTTTGACAGCTATACCTAGTTACTTGGATTTATTGGACATTGTGTTGTATTATATTTACTCAAGGTGTATGCAGTGATCTTTAAGAGTTTAAAATGTTACATCCTGGGTCATGACCGGTTATGGTAAAATACCCTTTATCGTGTCACGTTCTCGTTTCTCACGTGTCGAAAACATTAATAAACCTAGTCAAATTGTCGTTATTTTAAACAAGTCACTGATTTGCTGAGAGTCACAATATAAAACATATAAGAAAACGTAATTTATCAGGCAGATCAGTTGAGTTATGATCAAATTTTGTTACCGACGTAGGATGGTTTGATCTATAATCGCCATCAGTTAAAAGTTTTAAAGAAATTTTATCTTATGAAAAAAAAGTCTTCAAATTAAAACATTACTACTTAAATAACTTATTTCCCCCTCTCTCTCTCTCTCCAGGTGTGATGTTTGGATACATACGGGACTGCAGTGACGGCGAGACAATATCAGTGAATGTTACAAAGTTTCAAAACATGACCCTCAACAGAAACAACTTTACAACATGTGCTTTCCAAAGACAAGTTGGCGTCGTGTGTATAACGTTTTGTGCGGGAGATTTTTGTAATGGACCTGTTTCAAATAGTGTTGGTTACTTCGTCAGTTATACTTTAACACTTCTCGTAACAACGTACTGGATCCTTCTGTACTCACATTGATGGTTTGCAATTAACACTCAATAATAACAATGTATTGGCTCCTTCTGTACTCACATTGATGGTTTACAATTAACACTCAATATAAACATTGTATCGGATCCTTCTGTACTCACACTGATGGTATAAAATTAACACTCAATATAAACATTGTATCGGATCCTTCTGTACTCACACTGATGGTATACAACTAACACTCAATAAAAACATTGTACTGGATCCTTCTGTACTCACACTGATGGTATACAACTAACACTCAATATAAACATTGTACTGGATCCTTCTGTACTCACACTGATGGTTTACAGTTAACACTCAATATAAACATTGTATCGGATCCTTCTGTACTCACACTGATGGTATACAACTAACACTCAATATAAACATTGTACTGGATCCTTCTGTACTCACACTGATGGTTTACAACTAACACTCAATATAAACATTGTATCGGCTCCTTCTGTACTCACACTGATGGTATACAACTAACACTCAATATAAACATTGTATCGGATCATTCTGTACTCACACTGATGGTTTACAGTTAACACTCAATATAAACATTGTATTAGATCCTTCTGTACTCACACTGATGGTTTACAGTTAACACTCAATATAAACATTGTATCGGATCCTTCTGTACTCACATTGATGGTATACAACTAACACTCAAAAATAGCAATGTACTGGATCCTTCTGTACTCACACTGATGGTATACAACTAACACTCAAAAATAGCAATGTACTGGATCCTTCTGTACTCACACTGATGGTATACAACTAACACTCAAAAATAGCAATGTACTGGATCATTCTGTACTCACACCGATGGTATACAACTAACACTCAATATAAACATTGTATCGGATCGTTCTGTACTTACACTGATGGTATACAGTTAACACTCAATATATACATTGTATCGGATCGTTCTGTACTCACACTGATGGTATACAACTAACACTCAATATAAACATTGTATCGGATCATTCTGTACTCACACTGATGGTTTACAACTAACACTCAATATATACATTGTATCACACTGGTGGTATACAACTAACACTCAATATAAACATTGTATCGGATCATTCTGTACTCACACTGATGGTTTACAACTAACACTCAATATATACAGTTACTCACACTGATGGTATACAGTTAACACTCAATATAAACATTGTATCGGCTCCTTCTGTACTCACACTGATGGTATACAACTAACACTCAATATAAACATTGTACTGGATCCTTCTGTACTCACACTGATGGTTTACAGTTAACACTCAATATAAACATTGTACTGGATCCTTCTATACTCACACTGATGGTATACAACTAACACTCAATATAAACATTGTATCGGATCATTCTGTACTCACACTGATGGTTTACAACTAACACTCAATATATACATTGTATCGGATCGTTCTGTACTCACACTGATGGTATACAGTTAACACTCAATATAAACATTGTATCGGCTCCTTCTGTACTCACACTGATGGTATACAACTAACACTCAATATAAAAATTGTACTGGATCCTTCTGTACTCACACTGATGGTTTACAGTTAACACTCAATATAAACATTGTACTGGATCCTTCTATACTCACACTGATGGTATACAACTAACACTCAATATAAACATTGTATCGGATCATTCTGTACTCACACTGATGGTTTACAACTAACACTCAATATAAACATTGTACTGGATCCTTCTGTACTCACACTGATGGTATACAACTAACACTCAATATAAGCATTGTACCACTGATTTGTAGATAGTGTAGATAGAAATATTTGAGATAAAGATTGTCACTAGTGAGAGATAAATTAGATAAAGCTTTGTGTGACTAGTGAGAGATAAATTAGAAAAAAGTTTGTGTGACTAGTGAGAGATAAATTAGAAAAAAGTTTGTGTGACTAGTGAGAGATAGATTAGATAAAGTTTCTGTGACTAGTGAGAGATAAATTAGAAAAAAGTTTGTGTGACTAGTGAGAGATAAATCAGAAAAAGTTTGTGTGACTAGTGAGAGATAGATTAGATAAAGTTTCTGTGACTAGTGAGAGACAAATTAGTAAAAGTTTCTGTGACTAGTGAGAGATAGATTAGATAAAGTTTCTGTGACCAGTGAGAGATAGATTAGATCAGGTTTAACTATTAGACAATTTTTAGGAAATGTTTATTACTGCTCCGCAGACGTTGACATTTTGCATTTTTACATTTGTATGTTGTTTCAAGATTCATCCTGGCTTGTTTGCTGGATTGTCAATTCCACACTATCGCCATCTATCGCAACCTGCTCCGAGGTTTGTTCAACATCAAATCGAACTTTGCTTTTCAATCTCTGATATTGATAATCTCTTAACTTGTTTTTATTGTCCAACATTTTATAGAATTCGGTATGAGGTATCTGCCGATTGATCACCAAGTTACTCTGATTTTGGAATTTTTCAAGCAACACCTTCTTGAATATTTTGGTAACTCGTGCTGGATCTGTTTGGCGAATCCGTCTATCTATTTCCGGACGGAAAGGTTTCATTCCGTAGCCATTGTAGTAAAGCCTCGTCTCTAAATTGTACCGGCGAACAGACCTTGGTGTTTGCGCACTCTCACGGCTGAACTGTGGATCCATGGTCTTGAATTGGGCCACTGTATAATCATTAGTGAGGACATGATGGTATGCTGTAAGTTCTTGTAGCGATTTTTGAGTTCTCTGGAGAACCTGGTTTGCTAAATATTCACTGTGACGCCTATCTCTGTCGTACATCCTGTTGAGGCGTTTTAATCTGTCGTTTTCCAGGACATTCAGCTTCGCAGCTCTATCCCGCGTGGAAGTTGATATGTTGACAAGGGCATTGTACAATGTTCCTTTTCCTATTGGTGAATTGTTCTTGTCCCGTATAAGGCGGAGATTTGTAACCTGTGGCATACTGACCAAGTCCCTGAGCTGGGCTGTTCAAGAGCGTGGTAGCTTGTGACAAATTAGACTAATGTCTAACTTTATATGTCGCCGATGGGTCTAACCACTGAGTGGCTTACATAAGCTGTTGGCGAAACCCTGTTATTTGTATCCGACTAACCACGTGACTGACCTCAGCTGTTGGTAATTGGTAATAATCTTGTGACAACTCACTAGAACGTCACTCCAGTTACCGCTACTTCCTCTGTTGAATCGGCCTCCAATGTAATGCTTTCAAATTAAGAAAAAACAATCTCGGACTAGTATATAAAATTCAAAACATTAAGGATTGAAATGAATGGTACATATACTCTATTTTCGACTTGAAGGTAGCTGGTCATATATCATTTGCTGAACCAAAAGATACGTGCGTATGTATTATTTATATTGGAGCAATCAACAAAAGTAGGGTTTTTTTTCTAAACACGCGGATATTTATGAATCTAATACAACAGTAGATTGTATCATAAATGTAGCAGCAGATTCATATCATTTACATATCATCGACTAGCTATGAAAATATCATAATCTATTTATATATATATTTGGTATCCTGGTTTTGTATACATGTACTACATCATCATCAACATCATCATCAACAACAGCAAGAACAACAACGGTTTGTGAACTATTTGCGAAATAAAATCTAGCTTAAACTTACCTAAACGAAAATCTTCGTAGTAAAATTTTTCATCGGTTCTTTCATCACCCCCATTGCACTATGTCTAGTAGAATATACTCTTTTCTAAGGGAAAGAAAACTCTCTTTTATTCCATAGCGTGGTTTTCGTGATTTTCTTCACCATCACCTCTCTTTCATTGCAATGCCTCAAACAATTTTTATAAAATCCCTCCATTCGATTTTACATTTAGGATATTATAACCAGATACACATAGCATCTTATCTGCTTTACTGTTTCACAAAAAGGTAGAGTGTTGAGTTTGTGTTTCCAAGAGCTACTGATCATCAGGATTTGACAAGGACATGAAAGAATAGCCAAATTCCGATTATATCTATTTTCTGATTATATAACCTTTGAATATAAGACCTAGTTATCTTTTTTCAATGTATTACTACTAGTTCAGTTTTTGGGTCCTATCTAGATTGACACTGAGTTCGAATCCGAAAAATTATGAATAAAAATGTTCCCATTTTCATTTCGAACTAAGGCAAGACAGCATCATTGCTATGTATTTGCTCCCAATCCAAATAATATATGTTTTGTCAATATATAATTTCAAACCGGAGATGCTTGTTGAAATATTTAAGCATGTAAAAGACTCTCAAAGCCATCAGTGACATTAAAAATAATGTCATCAACCTAATGCCGGAACGCCTGATCTTACTCTCATTGTCCCTTTTTTCAGGAGTCTCCATGTAAATCTTTCTTTTGTTTATATGTTGTCCCTGTTTTATTGAATTTGAGTTTGGATTATGATGATGTTCCCATGTAAGTATTTATTATATAGTGCTTCAGAGCGTCTAACATACACATCAAGTAATTTTCGTATGAATTAACTGACTAGTCTAGAGGACCATTTCATAAATTATGAAGATTTCAGATGTAAAGAGATATAGTGGGTTGGGTTATCAAACATTCAGCAAGTCCCATCAGAAAGGCGTGATGCCAGGACTCAGATATAGGATTTCCTATAATAATTGAAATAAGGTTTATACAAAGATATACTGGACAAATTGTTTAAGACAGTCATCAATTTAGTTGTAAATTACAAAATCCACGTTTAATATACATGTATTTGTCGTTCCTAAAGTCATCAATTATATCTATTAAAATGCCATTAAAACTTGGTGTGCCAATTAACCTTAAGATATTGGTTTTTCTTTCCACCATCATTTTCCAAAATTGTTCAATCAAAATTACTAACCACTTGAAAAATGGAAATCTTATTGATATCTGACATAATTTTGATTTTCTTCAGTGAAGTTATTTATTGCGAATATTAAATACTATATTGGTTTCAGATTTCAAGTTAGAAAAAAATGTCCTTTAAAAAACAGTACCACAAAGACCTTGACAGTTTCTGAAATATATATATATATATATTCCCTATCATGTTACCTCACAGTATATCTACCACCTACCATTAATAATTATAAACGTGCAGTGATTAGAGAAAAAAACAACAGCCAAAAACAGAATTTGCATATCAATAGTTAGACATCTCTCAGTTTTTTTCGACACTTGTTCACTGCATCTGTCGCTATAGATCACCAAACTGCGCTGCTAAGTGGAAATGCATGCAGACATAATTTTATACACATATCAGCTATTTCAGAGGTTTTTATATAACACTAATGTTCTATAACATATTCAGAATGATTTTTGTACCAAGTAAAAAATACTTACGGATTATATGTTGGCAATTCGCATCCAATTATTGGGAATGGAGTGAGGGTAAGTCTCTCACCACAGTAAAATCCGATGCCGATGGTTCTGTAACAACGCAGAAGACGATATATCTCAAGGCACCATAAGGTCTAAGTGAAAACTCAAACTCTTACATACCACCACGGGTCAATTCTCAATGTTCATTATGACCATTCAAAAGCATTGTGTTTGTCCGCCACATGTATTTACTTTCATTACAAGATTTAACTTGGAATTATAACATTTTGTAAGTTTGACTGAATTATCCTTCCCATATACATACATATTTATACATGTGAAAAGACAGACGTGATATTTTTGACACACATGGATATCAGTTATAAAGTGAACCAGACCTAATCAGTAAACATTTATTTCCGACATGTTTCTAGCCGTTATCGATTGTTATACACGGTAGTTTGTATTTATCTTCGATTTCTATTGGTTTATGTACAATAGCAGTGTTTAATAGATAATTTGTCAAAGACTAAAATATACTCATGTTGGTTGTATTTAGATAGAGTGAGTGGTAGAATTAAATGTAGAGGAGAACGCAGATCGCGTGCCAATATTAGGGCCCATACCAAACTTGTGTTTACTTAAACATTGAGAAAAGTAATCAGATCGGTTGTAATGAATGTTGATTATGGGTAAAAATATAGGGAAATTCAGCGAACAACATCGATAAATGTGTCAATATTTATGAGAGATTAATACAACATCCATCGTATAAAATATCTCACGACGCCTATTAATATTTTGATTAGAGATTGAAACTATTCAGCATATTAAGCTTCAAATATATTAAATATCTTTTAGCTAATAATTTTTATTGAATAAATGGACTTGGTCTAAAATTATTGAAGTTTTACTGCATTAGTAGCTTATAACGTTCAGCGGATATTAGGATTATACAGAAACGTTCATACTCAAGTGAATATTTGTAAACTTCTGCTCTGTTCAGTACCCGGTGATTGATGATGCTGTCAACATAAAAACATGGCAAACCAGTCATGACAGTAACTCAAATTCGATAAAACTAGAGCGAAAAAATGGACAGAATGAACTACAAGGAAAACAAGACAATGTGTTCCGGAAGAATAAGCGTCTTCTAATTCATCGAAGGCACCCGCCATGTTAACCTTGATTAATGTCACGTTCTCAAATGAGAACAAGGTATAGAACAACGGAATCAACAGGCAAACTGACCTGCATCAAACATGTCCAGCTTCATATTACACAAAGAAATATATTTTGATCAGTAAATATATTTCTTCCAAAGGATACTATAGCTTCAATAAATGTCTCTTTATAGTACTACCAAACAGTTTATAATTAATTTGTCATGGAAAATCATATGACCACAAAGTATTTATGAATCATGACTGCTTATTATTAATTTGTCATTAAATCGCGGAGTAATAATGACAAATCCATTACTTGGAGAGGTTTTCATGGGCATTACATGGATGTATTATTTTTTATTATTTACGAATGGATGTCAATTAATGAAAATAGTGTAACCATTTAAGAAAGTCTTATAACTATCTTTTTTCTGACACTATTCAAGACAATCTGCATAGCTTCAACCCCTAGGTAATTATTTGATATCGCATGGTGTATTTAACTAAATTCCCAATATAATATTATAACATAAAGATAGTACGATAAAAAGTACAAAAACACATAATGGTATGATTATCATGTTATCGGCTCTTCTGGCATGTCTATAGATTCTTTGATATGGTCTTTGCAAAAGAAACTTCAGATATAGTTCTTTGCAATTGGTTATGCAGGAAAGAGTTCAATTTCATTTCAGATTCATTGCTGCGGTTTTTGCAGATATAGTTAAAAGTCTATTTCTTATTTTTAGCCATGAGCTCTGCAAGAAGTTAAATTTGATTTCGAAAGGAAATTTTAAATTCTATTTCGAATTCTTTTGTATTTCTATTCCTGATTAATTGTCATAGATTCTGCAGGCCGGGCTAAATTGCATTTGACACGGGCTTTGCACGAAGATTTTCAAATATATTTCAGATTCTATGCCAAGGGTTCTGCAGAAGAAAGTTTAAACTTCCTTTGGGTTCTTTGCCATAGTCTATGTGAAATGAACGCCAAATTCATGACAATTTCTTTGCATGGTTTTCAAATATATTTTCAGATTAATGACCATAAATTCTGCAAGCAGGTATAGACTTTTATTTCAGAGCTAGATTGACTTACATGATTTTGTAAATCACTCTTTTGTGTTGGTTTGATAATACAAACTTGTTTGTGTGCTAAAGTAGCTAAATAATGCCGCTTGGTTCCTAAGAACAATCATGACACATGCATTTAAAACAAAATAAAAAGAAAGATAATTGTATACTCAGTCCTAAGTTTTAATATGTTTCTGATTTAATTTTTAGAAAAGAAAAGAAATAGTAAACAGAATTTCCAAAGTTACGAGTTTACAATTGTTTCTCATTGGTAACAAAAAGGTATTCCTGCCTTTCCAACCGACATTACTCTTTTACAAATGTACAGACTAATAGTATTTGGTTATATAAAATCGAATCAAATTGATTGAATGAAATGAAATTAATTCAGTTATCAAAGAAGTCAGGAAAAATAGTATTTCGATTCCTCTGATGTTTTTTACTAAACAATATTAATTAAAATTATCGATGCACAGGTATTTGAAAATTAGCAACCATCTAGGTAAATATGTACCTACACTGGGCAGGCCGCTGTGTACCATGGAGATCGGAACATTTGTTTCAGTCTACGTGAATATTCACATGTCATGGAAATGGATTTTTTGAGAGTTGTGTCCCTTTATGGGAACAAAGTATTTCTGTGGTTTTAATATCTATTATTCAAAATATGAGAAAACTGATTGTATTTTATGTGTCAAGAATGTAAGGCATGTGTAGTTTGAGTTATCATATCTTGAATGTGTGATTAAACATGTATGAAAAATGTTTTAACAACTGTGGAGAAACTGAGAAGGTTAGGAGACTATACAAAGCCACCGACTGGTATTTCACTATGTCCTCCAACATCACTAAAGCCCTTTAATAAAATCGCGGTTAAACTATACTGTAATAAAATGTCCCGGCGAAGTGATGTACAATCTGAAAATTCAAACATCATTTTGAAATTTATTGGGTAATATCTCATGTGACTTTTAAGTGATAATGTAAGGCGTAAGATATTGGATAAAGATATTTGAGAAGAGTGTTGTTGACTTCGTGAACTTCCGTTAATCAACACAAAGAAAATTCGCCGACGATGAAATTTCCATTGTTCACAAGTGTAACTGTGTGTTAGTAATACAGGAAATTTGAGGATATTTTTATAGTGTTCCCTCCGTTGTCGTGTGTCTGCTGCCGTGTGCTATTCACTGTCCGTAGACTTTTCCCTTTAAAGCATTACTCCTGCTTAACGCCTGGACTATGTTCAACCAAATCTGGTCTGAAAAAGCTTTTCAACGTACTTAAAGCTATATAAGAGAATGATTAAAATGCAAACATGTTACGTTGGGTTAAGTTTCTGGGTGGGTTATACCTCTTTGAAATTTAACGGAGATCCTTTTATAGTTCAATGCCTCAGTTAGGATTTGAACCCCTGACCTCTTGCATACAAGCCTGACGCTCAACCGATCCAGCTAAAGAGCGGTATATTCCGCTACTATTTTATCAGGGTTACAAGATCCTTACGACTGCTGAACACCTGGACTTCAACCAAATCTGGTCTAAAACAACCTTTCAAGACACTTTTGGATTTCGTTGAAAACTATACAAGCTAATAATTGAAACGAGAACAAAATGCGTTGGGTTCAGTTTCTAAATCCATTTTGTCCATCATTATTTTAATTTGCAGCTTCAAAGCTAATATGAAGACAAAACACAGGTCAGCGTTCTTCGATCATTCAATCTGCGCTTCAAAATTTACATTACAACATTGTTATTGTTCTGGCAATAAGTTTATCCTTGTCTGAAGACATTTCACCTTTATATTATGCAATGTTTCAAAAAAAGAAATACTAGCTAATCATGCTTTGTTACTACAATAATTTAGATTGCCTCCAATTCACAAATATTTTATATTGTATCCCTAAACATATTAACAATTTTTTATGGTTGGTTCGTCTAGTTGTTCAACAAAACGCTTGTCAAAACTACTAATTACCATTCTTAGTACAGTTGAATATAGATTACAGTCTTATTGTGATACTGTTTACTTAAGAAGTGGAACACCACCATATGCCATTTTAACCTGAACGACCGTGTTCGTTCCCTTGTAAAGGGATTTTTGTTTCCAAGATATTGTAACTGCGGTACAAATATATGGTTGTGAACTTTGCCGAAGCGTATTTCATGAAAGATACGGTCAAATCAAAGAGGAAATAAATGGAGGACGAAGACATTGACTACAAGTTCGTCGAGTACGGTGACAGGATCTTTCAACAGACTATTGACATAAAGGAAACTAACTGTGTGACACTGTTGTCTTATAGACTACAAAGACCTTGCGTATCCGTTGATTTTTCACTTTCAGATACATTGATGACGTCTTTTTTTTCTTTAATATCAGGAAATGTATTAATCATGTCCATCGTATTTTCATGTACCCACTAGAATTCAGAATTAGAAATCAAGGACACAGCGGATTCTTCTACATCAGCCGCTTATCTCGATTTTTTCCTGCTTTGAAAGCAACATGGACAGTTTTCCACCGAGTTATATGATAGGGGTGATGATATCAAATTTCCTATGGTGAATTTTCCATTTCCGAATAGCAATATACCTGCATCTCCAATTTATGGTATTAACATGTCACAGTCGAATTTGGTGATTTGTCCTTTCTGAATAGCAACATTCCTGCATCAAGTTTTCATGACGCAGTTGATTCGTTATTCAAGGGTCTGTTTCAATCATCACGATTTTCATAGATGTCAACTAATGGACAATCTTGTAACACACGATTTCGATAAATGGAGGTTGATGAAAATTACTGAGGAGATGAGTTTAATTATCTCATGGCGAACTATTCTGTCCTTTGTGCCATATGAAGCTGGATGTGTTTAATGCTCGTTTGTTTCTCTGTTGGTTCTGTTGTTAAAAAAATTGAGGACGTGGAATTACTTACTCGGATTAACCAAAATTTTCAAGGCGGATATTGTCTAGGAAGCAGAATAAGCTTCTCTTTTGGACCATCTGATACCATGCTCCATGTACTTTTTTCATAATTATTTGTGTAAAACTTCATTTGATTATATTTTGCCCTAGTTTTATTGAGTTTGAGGTTGGATTATGATTGTGTTGACATGTTGGTATTTCTTTTTTTTCTCCAAGAGACCTGGAAGCGTCCCCGAAAGGGAGCAATAAGAAAATATTTGCATTGAAGTTATGTTCCTTCATAATGCATAGATCGATTTCAACCAATATTAGTCTGAAACATCATAGTGGTTTCTTAAATAATTTTTTAATTCAAAAAGGTGATCTTAAACAATACAATACTTTGCTTTGCTCTTCCTTAATGCTTGAACGGATTCCTACCAAATTTGGTCCGGGCCATTATAAAGAGTTATTAAATATGCATTAAGTGATCCTGAAATTCTCCTTACCAAATCTTACTTTCCGTTTGGTCCAAACTTCAACGTAGCTCCCTTTTGTGATCTGTCCGTCTGTCCGCCGATTGTCAGATGACCGTTCAAGGTTATATTCCCCGTGTACATGTACTAAAAAGAACACCATATCACACAAAAATCACATTTTTATTTTCATACAGTTAAGCAACAAATTGACATAGAAAATTAATTTTCCGTTTCTAGGTTTGACAAACAAAGTTTGCCTGAGAAAATTAAAACAAAATGGAAAGAGTCACCGCAAATAACTGTTGAACACAAACTTGTAAGTTATACACTGTATCTGGCGATGACGTCAATTTTAAGGGACATATTACATTTCTTCGCGCGTGTGTCTGCATTGCATGTGTGGGTGTGCAATACAAGAATAGCGAATATTGGTGTATTGCCCTGGACTAATCAGTTTTATACGCTTAAAGAGATATACATTTTGCAGACAGTATGTTAACTGATATCGAAAACGAAATCCCTATGTGAAATATGATGTCAAATGCCACCATAAACTTCCAGTACTTTGAACGTATTGTAATTTCAATAGAAAAAAATCTTTCAGTTTGATCAATTGTCTACAAATAAGTATTAAGAAATGTGGAACGTATAAAAGGTTTATAAGGTTGAACACAAAGGTATTGTAACGCCCTCTAATCTGTCCTTGTTACCCTTGTTCACGGGAGGGTCATTTTTCTTGTCTTCTCCTGGCCTGTCAGTCGAATGGATGCCACTGCCGGAACGGTTGTCCGAGAGAGCATACACAAGCTTATCCCAGAAGAGATATTCATTGACCTTAAGATAAGAGTGTGTCTGAAGAAAGTACACCATGTCAGTAGGTAAACAAAGGTTATCTATCTCCTCCAATAGTACAACAATCAAATGCATATTGCTTTCTACCAAACTTTGTTGGAACGCTTTACGAAATTCTAAAATGCACCATTCACTTTCAATAAAATGTTTGGAGAGAACAAGAATTGTATGGCTGCTCATTTCAACACTTTCAATAATGTTTTCGGATATACAGACTCCTGGGATGAAGTGTTTGTAGTGTAGACAAAGCCTGAAATGATATGGTTTTCCTTCAAGGCGTTTACACATGTTATTTACAATTCCCTCATCCTGACTATTGTACGATACAAAGGCGTCGTATTCCTTGTTGTTCATTTCATTCTTGTTGGCTCTACGTCTTCTGATAGACAACCTGGCAAAGGCGATTATTTTCAGCTCTTTTCGATACCGACAAATCACCAATATGACAGAGAATAGCAAGAACATTATCGGCAATATGATTATAAACACGTACCTTGAAAATTTCGCGACGTTTTCAGACTCCGATTCTTCCTGACAAAGTTCTTGGTATGTTACTTCGACAAGAACGCGGCCATGAACGACTAAAGGAGATGCACATATCATATTCTTCATATAGCTGTAGTGCTGAACGAACGACCTCACTGACTGACGCACGAAATGCAACAATGGTCTAAGTTTACATATACAAGATAAGGGATTGTCTTGTAGTAACAATAGCCCGGGATAAAAAGACTCCATACGGCTGAGATCAGATTCACTGATAATGGTGATGTTGTTATTTGTCATGTTGACTGTAACAATGGACATCGAGCTAGGTGGGAAACTAAAGGGAATATTCGCTATTTCGTTGTTAGAAATGTCCAAGACGCTCAAAGCCGGAAACTCCTCGGACCAGATTTCACGGAAAAGCTTGAAAGGAACCTTGTTTAAATGTAGATATGAAATATTCAAAACTCGAAGAGATGGGAATTTACCTTTATCTAAAAATCTGTCCACAAAATTCACCATGTTCTTTCGTGAACATGATTTCTCATAGTAAGTTAGTCCTAAATATTCACATTGTTGCAGTTTGAATTTGTGAATTCGAGAGGCTTTTCTCAATTCTTTATACTGTGTTTTGGTTCCCGATCCCTCTGTCTTTACAGTTACGTTCCGCTCTACGTATCTCTCGATGGATGGTGGCAAGTAGCAAGGATACTTTGATAAGACATCGTGAGTGTGAATTGTATATAAGGCAAGAAGTTCTTTAAACGTGATAAAAATCACGGAATCTTTAACCTCCATGGTTTTAATTGTAAAATCTATCTTTTCTGTATCTGCTGTCAGGTCATAATGATACATTTGTCGGACACCACACGAACTGATGTACAGTTTCCGTAACATGTGAGCTTTGATTGGCTGTTGTAGGATGACTGTGCTGTTCTTACCGCACTGGACGTAAACATTAAGACGACTCTTTACATGTCCTTTTGCCCAGTGCTGCACCCACGCGAACTTCCAAGTCGTATCCGTTGGTATAATGCAGTTTAAATTGATGTCGTGAGTTTGATCACTATGAACCAGTGTACAATTTTGTGGTAGTGTGGAAAGTAGAGGTGACTGTGACTGTTGATGGGACACATTGGCCATTACCAACAGGAAAGATAAAACACACACAACACTACTCATTATACAATTAAACACGATCATCAGCGGACACAGTAGCTACAAGTTATGACTCTGCCTTTCAAACAATTTTATTTTGTCTAATTTTGTGTCTCGTGTGGCAATAGAGCTACCCGAGCATAAACATGTATCCGTTTTCACCGGTTGTATGACCTCTGTCATGACCCTATCATATAGGGTACAATGATTAAAGATTCATTTCAGCAGATGCAACGAAAAACCCTGTTGAGCGTCCGGTATATCCATATATGGAATGCTTCGCTTGCTATCGATCATGGGCACGCGCTGAAAAGTAATCAAATACGCCCCGTTTCAACCGTAACTACACAACGAGTATTTCGTTTCTCATTTGAATAACTGTGTTGCAATCAGGTAATACGTTCATTACCACTCCCATACACGTGGCCCGGAGGTGGCTAAACTGTAGTTCCGACAGTGAGGCCCCAATCCTTATAATCGCTATGTGAAAGGTACAAAAGTGCTTTGATATTTATAAAATGATGATCCGAAGTTGGAAATTGATTCAAAAAATGATTCATATAGAATGAAAGTTTTTTCCCTGTTTATATATGTCCGGCGGAATTCGACAAACTTTTTATTGGTTACCGAATGCGTTCATCTGTCCGTTTTGCTGCAGCTTTTTTCAGTAGTCACAATCCAGTCAGATATTGTGTTATTGTACAAAGTTTTGAATGTTCCTTTTGGGTCTATTTAAGATTAAGTTTGCAAAAATACTTTTTGTCAATTTTGGCCAAGTTCAGTAATATGAGGTGCTATGGTCCGACCTTTGGAAGGAATATTCTCCTAGTGCCTATCACTGATGGTATGGATTCAATTTGGGTAAATACCAGATACTTACAGATATTATGCATTTGTCTAAGGCTTATTGACCCTATATCATCATATTGACTGCTGTAACAATATCTAAGATTTTAATACAATTGCAAGTCCTCTATACAGTTAAAATCAAAATTTCGATCCAAACCTAGAAATACTTTTCAATCAGGCGAATATTGAACGGTAAGATACTGGAGGTGTTTATGTCCCCTCCGTTGACACATGATTTCATCTTAACACTAATCATATATATACTGACATCAAAAGTGGTTTAATGAATACTACAGCAATCATTAGAAGGCTAAGTACGCAGTCTAAGATTAATTACATGTTTCTTCGTATATTTCATCACGTTTAAATTCTCTGGAAAGTCGTCACTTCGTTGTCAGATTCAAATGAATAACAACGTCATTTTGCATTGTGAATACCTATGTTTGGTTTTAATGGTTGTGCTTATGTGATATCGATCAACGTTCACGCCAAAAGTGTGTTCAATGATTCGATAAATACTGTTCTCAAGAACTTTGATATAACGCCATCATTAAGCGTTTCTTCTAAGGTATTTTATTTGGTTTTTCTTTATTAGTTACAATCTAGACAACATGGAATTTCATGGTTACATGATTCATTTAATATTCTTTACACAAAGTTTAGAAGGCGAAACTCACTCTCAAGGCTGCTGTAACGTTCTCAAAAGGAAACAAAAAGTCTGGTAAACAATATATAGTTTAAACGTGCATCAAGTTTCTAGAGTTTATGTTTTCCGTCACGTCAAGTATGTCCCTTTACGTGTGAATGACTATTAGTTAATTTCCTTTGAACTGAGACAGGGTGATCTACAGCAGAAATATTCGGCTTTGTATGAAATGATGTTATCTCAGTGTTTGGCATTGATGACCTGCCATCGATGACCAGGCATTGTTGACCTGGCATTGTTACCCTGCCATTGATGACCTGGCATCGTTGACCTGGCATCGATGACCAGGCATCGTTGACCTGCCATTGCTGACCTGACATCGTTGACCTGGCATCGATGACCAGGCATTGTTGACCTGGCATTGTTGACCTAGCATTGTTGACCTGGCATCGATGACCAGGCATTGTTGGCCTGGCATTGTTGACCTGCCATTGCTGACCTGACATCGTTGACCTGGCATCGATGACCAGGCATTGTAGACCTGGCATTGTTGACCTGCCATTGCTGACCTGACATCGTTGACCTGGCATCGATGACCAGGCATTGTTGACCTGGCATTGTTGACCTGCCATTGCTGACCTGACATTGTTGACCTGGCATTGTTGACCTGACATTGTTGACCTTACATTGTTGACCTGCCATGCTGACCTGACATTGTTGACCTGCCATTGCTGACCTGACATTGTTGACCTGGCATTGTTGACCTGACATTGTTGACCTGACATTGCTGACCTGACATTGCTGACCTGCCATTGATGACCTGGCATTGTTGACCTGTCATTGATGACCTGCCATCGATGACCAGGCATTGTTAACCTGGCATTGTTACCCTGTCATTGATGACCTGGCATTGATGACCTGCCATAGATGACCAGGCATTGTTGACCTGGAATTGTTGACCTGCCATTACTGACCTGGCATTTTTGTCGACGCATTGTTGACGTGGCATTGATGACGTGGCATTAGTTACCTGGCATCGCTGACGAAACATTGTTGACCTAGCACTTATGACGTGGTATTGCTGGCCTGGCACTGATGACGTGGCATTGTTGACCTAGCACTGATGACGTGGCATTGATGACCTGGCACTGATGACGTGGCATTGATGATCTGTCACTAATGACGTGTTAGTGTTGATAAGACAATGGTACCGTAACATTGTTGATCTGTCTTTGCTGACGTGGCATTGTTGACATGGCATTGTTGGCATGTTGACATGTGAGGTCAAGGATTGTCTGATGTGATGACACGATGTATCATTGCTCTGACAAGGGCATTGCCCACACAGACTAATAAAAGAAAGGATTGCTGCATGGTATTCATTCGCCATTCTCCCAACACAGTCCCTCTTACAACCCTATTTCTTTAATCGGAGATTTGTATGGTCATATTTGTAGAAAACTATTTAACATTTGACACGTACTTGGTTGTTTCTTTTAGATTTTCAAAATAACTTTTCTTCTATTTAGAAAAGAAACACATGCTCGTGAAGAATGTTAACAAAATTTTGAGAGATGGGGGATGTACCTGTCAAAACTACATGTGTGAAAAGGATTTGATACAATGATAAAAATTATTGAACATATGAAGCACGAGGGGAGTACGGCATGCCTTGAGACGACAGAACCATCCAAGTGTTGTTGTCCGTCTTATTGATTAATCATCACAATGGAGAAATACAGTCTAGCATTAAGTGTGTGTTCATTATGATATTTTACAGATATATCTTAAATACCATCGAGATAATTTTAAAAATCAATATAGAAATAAAAGCATAAACTCAAGGAGACTAATACATACAAGTAATAATAAAAACCCTGGGCTCTCCCATTACATACATATACTTAAAACTTGCTCATTACAAATGCATTTCTTTGTTAAAGTCTCAATGTATATGAGGTCATGAAGCTTTGACGTCACAATAGAAAAAGTTGGAACCTTCAGCCAATCACAGCTACTTTCAGTCATATTAAACCTGTGTCATAACAAAATATACAATGGATACTATCATACTGATCACGGTGTAGTCACGTGATTAAGAGAGCATGAGTTAGTAGTATGATGAGGTCATTCAAAATGGTCAACATATTTATTGATGATTTGGGAAATGTTTTGGAATTAATACTGATACAGGGACCCATGATCTGTATCGCACATTTGACTTAGTTCCCTGAATTGCTTTATATAAATAAAGTATTTTAAAGATTTAAATATATTTTACCTACCAGCCCTTGTCCCTCTGTTACAAAGAGTGAAGGGCTATCATATACGCCATTAATAGAAAACAGATTTCCATCAAAAACCACCATTTATAGAAATTTGATTTTCCTTCACCAAAGAGTGCTTCAAATAGAATGCTGGCCTTCATACATTAGAAGGATTTGAAGGAATCTGCGCTAGTTCTCCTACTGGGCCCCATCCCTTTACCCCCACTGGGCCTCCTCAATGCGTCTTCTGTACAATATTGGGACAGCAGGTGGTAAACAATACTAGTATATTATTATCATTACAATCTTAACAGCTAGTCAACACATCAAATGTCACAACTCGTAGCAATTTCATTCCTTATATTTACCGTAACCTGCATGCAACTTTCTGATTCATTCGAATAATTGCACTGTTTAAAAACAAGAAAATACCATCATATGAACATGTCCATAATTCAAACCCAATAAAAAACTAGGGCAAAATATGAAAAGAAAGATATAAATAGAAGCTCGTGGAAAAGTTCAAGGCGAATAATATCAAGTGTCCGGAAGAATGTCTAGCTTTATATATATATATATTCACATTGCTTATTTATACAAAAACCCTTTTTGAGGTATTCAGGTATCATTCCATTGTCCTGATTGGCCAATGAATGGTCAGTTTACTCAAGGGCCATCATTCAACAGTGATGTAAACATAAAAAACAAAAATAACCATTTTTTTTCACAGAAAGAGTTTTGCTACAATGCTTAAGTTAAGAAATATACTTATATAAACGTACGTTGAAAGCCCAGAAGTACACTGGTAACATTAGAAACTTATAGGAATATTTACACCAAAATCAATGTCATTCTCATTGATAGCTTACATTTTTAGAACTCTAGCAATGGAAATATTGACAGATGAACAAAATAGAAATTCAAATCCAAAGTCGATGTATCGAAGACATGTATCCTATAGACTGTTTTAGCTATTTTTTATATTCTTTTTTTTTAAATATCCTTTTCAGGTTGGTAATGCCAATAGAATAGAAGTTCTTATAACACAATCAGTAGTAGATTAGATTGTCACGTTTCGAAAACTATCTTAGACCATGTATCTAAAAAAAAAAGCAGTACTTTGTCATCTTCTTGTGTATTTTTGGTCCATAATTTGTTTACTCTCACGTCATTTTGTTTCTACCCTAGCATCCAAAGGATTATAGTACAGTACGTTTGTCGAT